GTAAAAAGTAAATTAAGATGTAAAAACATGGGCTAAATCCTTCTTCCACAGTCTTCTGATGTCTTTTCTTGCAGTTCTTTTTACATATTTCTGAAATTCATTAGACAGTCATTATCATGCCTGTGTAAATGGTGGTGCCCATACATGTATAAACTCAGCACATATACAGTCTGTGTAAGTGCACATGTTTGCATATCCATTGATAATCATAAAATCATTTGCTCACTCTCACTCACTCATCTGACCATTCCTCACTCTAGAAAAACCCGTAAATACATGTAGTATACTGTAATAACTCCCCTTAGTGTGTGTCTTTTAACGTACTCATGCCAGGATATAAATAGGAAGTCCTGAAAGTAAATCTTATTGAAGTTTATGATATTTATTATAATATAAGTAGCACTAATTAATATATAAGCTCTTGGTACTTGCCGTCACCCTTATCAAGAGCAATTACTACCCCAGGATACTCTTTTTCAGTGAATCAAGCTCATGCAGGGAAAGGTGAAATATATATGTTAAGCTATGTTCACCATGTTCATTATGACAAATGTCCCAGTGTTGTTTGTATTATATCACTGATGCTTTATGGTTGTGATGTAGATAATTTTGTCTGTAATACCTTATACTGCTTTCCTTTGTGGCATTTTGTAATATAAAAAATCAAACATATTGTAATATTGGATTTACTAGAAAGTAAAAAAATATATGTATAATTATATTATATGTATACAGAGATCATTATTGTGTATCAGTTAGTTGTAATAGAAATGGTCCAAGTTTATATTTTGAGGAGGCATTTAATAAATTTTGTGAGATTGAGGGTGACATATCACTAAAAATACTATATATTTTAGGACTATTTTTGTATATAGTGTCTCCTCAATTTCTCTAGCACTCATGTAGTATACAGATATATGTAAGTAGCATTTTATAATATAATGGATGGAGATTATATCAAGACCGTCATATATATTTGTATTGTTTTATTTTGTGTGATGAAATTTGAACAAGCACTTGTAGATACTCTGATATTACATAGGTCCCATAGCTTAAATATAAATTCTCCATTTACACAAATTACTCCAGATAGAATTTATTTACCTTACCATTCATTTATAACAGCTTATTTTCTTGCATGTGATTATCAGCCATTAAGTCATGTAGACTGCATGACTAGTACTACAATCACAAGTATCTGATAGGTATTCCAAACTAGTCTTAGGCAAGCTGGTCTGTACAATTGATACCTGTGACTTAATCATGTGAAGCATGCAAAGGTAATCAGAATATTTTATTTTATTTAGAAAGGAATTCTATTCTTGATATACATGCTGGATTGTGTGGAAAGTAGCAAACATATATGAATGTGATATAAATAGAGATTTAGGGTAATGTATAGTCATGCAAAAAGCAACTGAACCCATCAAAAAACTTTTGTGCAGGTTTTTAAACTTTTTTATCTTTAGGGATTGGGTATCATTATAAACAGGCTGCTTCTTCATCACTTGGCTATTTTTGTTGATCCTAATATCATTAATCATATTTTAGGAGTATTGCAATGCATTACCAGTCACTCTCTTTACTTTAAAAAAAATATAATCAAATATTTAAAGACATCTTGCGTATATATAATCACTGCTGTTACCATTATCTTCCTGTATCATAATCATGATGTCATGATGATTTGAAATAATCAATCATCATTTATGTCAAGTATCATTATGATCACTCCCATGTCAGTCACTGCATTATCATCATCACACTTTTCTATAACATCATTACCCTCTATACCACATTTCCTAGTCAGCATATCAAGCATAATGGCCCACCTGCAAATGCAGATGCACCTTTTCCACTGGATACCTCACGTGAACAATAGGAAGGTACCAAATGGAACTGTCCTGGGCTTGAGGAAAGTCCTTTCTTCCAGTCATACTCTGTTGCTTGAAGCATTGATGGCACATCAGACAAGGTTTCTCACCAATGAATTGCCTGATAAGGTGCTTGCTTGATGTTTCCCAAGGATGCCTCATATTGGTGGAAAGGTGCTTTTGCAAGTTGTATAGTATCATTTGCAAAAACTGTACACAGAAATATCATTGCAGATGTACAAACTTCATCCACTCTGCTGCAATGTCACCTACTACAGACTTGCTGGATTGATCTCTAGAACCTTCAATACCCACTTTTTCTCAGTGCCATATATGGCAGCAACAGTTTCTGACCCAGTCAAGCAGGGAAGTGCCAGAATGAACTCTGAAGCCATGGTTGCTTTCACATAAACTACTGCCCAATCCGTTTGTGCATATCTCATGAATCTCTTGAAACAGAAATTAGAAGATAAGCAAACATGTTAGTGTTAACAGAAATAACTTGTAACATATTTGCAGTCTTAGGAATATGCTATCATGTGCTGCATAATGACAAGTGTATACAGTCTTCACCCCTTTAGTCAAATAATTTTAATTATGACCTCCACACCTGTTAAGGTGAGACTCTATTTTTGCTGGCTGCACTGCAATATTCATTATCCATAATCTATTTTTTTCCTTATACCACATGTAGATGTTGCTGTACAAAGAAAACATACTTGTTGCCACAGTGATGGATAGTGGCCAGATCCTCTCTGTGAATCCACAAAATTAGTTAACAACAAATTCAAAATAGGAAGGAAAGAGTCTTCTTCATTACTCACAGGACTTGACTACTGTCCATGAGTCTACATACCTGATGTGTCTATATGAGGATGATACCCACATAACATCATATATTTCTTATTTCACACTGAGGTCACAGGTATAGTATACTCATTCTCTGTATAGTTAAAAGAACAATTAATATTAGATTATGTATACATCTTCCATCTCCATAACCTAGACTTTACTGGGTGATCTCAATCAATCATCTCATAAACTGATTCAGTACCCTCTCCCACCTAAAAAAAGGAATGAAAAAACAGCATATTAACATCAGGAACATTAGAGTTGGCATTATAGTTTCTGAGATATGCCACCTACCTGTTGCAGGAGATGTAAGAGAAGACCATCATAAAAATATGCAAACAATGGAAATGCAGGATACCATTTCTCATAGAAATGGTATCCCAAGTCCCTAAGGGTTACAGAAGTGTAAAAACATAAATTATAAAATTTTTGAAAGGGTTCAAGTGACTTTTTTTCCTGACTATTGTGGATTCAGCTCTAAGATCAAAGTATACATTTCCATAATTAGATAAACTGTTTCATATGTTAAATTAGTTTTGCTACGCATTTTGGATTAGTTCATGTCCTACATTATTGTTACAAACTGGATAAATTATTAAGAATAGTATATGACTAATGGCTGTGTTCAAGAGGTTTCATGTGGGCTTTCCAAATGTTGTGTAAACAGGACAGTCCCCAACCTCACTTTCAATGGAAGTGTAGCAAGATGTATAGAAAGAAGGACTTACAAAGGAATATATCTTCAATGAGGTTTCTAGAGTCAAGGTCTAATTATTATTCAAATAGGAATAACCATTATGGTAGACACTATCAACATCTTTCAAACAAGTAGTGTAAAGAATATTTTTTGTAAAGAGAAATGTCTGTTGTTTCAAGATTGCTGATTATTGTTTACATATCCTAGGTTTTAAAAAAATACTGATAAACTTGCCTAGTAAATTATATAAGTACTATGCAGAGAAAGAATTTTGAATGGCAAAATTATCTCCAGTACAACAAGGAACAGGGTTCTTGGCTACCATAAAACCTTGTTAATGAATTATCAAATTTGAATGCTTTTTCTTCTTTTGATAACTATGCTTATCACAGCTCAAAATAGATCTGGATGTCATAAGGATAAGGGTCTTTATTGCCAAACAAAGAAGCTTATATATGTATATTGCAGTTCCCAACAAAATATACCATGATATATTCATTGGATACTATTGTCATTTTTATTTTGAGATACAGTATTTATAATTGTTGTTAATGTTATTTCCAGTTTAAATTATTTCATTTCCTATAATATTGTAGAAGTGATGAAATGGTGGTTTCATCATGGTCACAAAAATACTTGGTGTTAAGTTTCCACTCTAGAGTATTTTGAGTAAGTTATTAATTTACAAGAACATTTGAGTCCCTTCTCATTGTTAAATACCTAATATTGATGTAGGAATAATTACATAATTTGAGCAAGAAGTAGTTAATGAAGTTTAATACTGCTCAGCTATTTTTAAATATACATTAATTTGAAATACTCACTGTATGTAAATGCATATAATGTAAATATGTATGTAAGCATGTAATACATGTACTGAAAGACATTAATGGCTCATGAACCTTAAGATTTCATAAAACAGAAACATCTCAATTATGCCAAACTGTGGACACAGTAGCACCTTCCTTCAATATAAATCTTAACAAACACCACAAAATTCAACACCAGTAGTATGATAAAAAATAGAAATTGTTGTAACTGCTTTCCCTTGGATTTTTCTGGCACTGGTGATGTATGTAATGCTGCCACTTATGATGCAATGCTTGTGAACGTTAAATAGACCTTGTCATTATTTGCTGAATTTGTTGTGTATGTACAGGTCATTATGCAGTTTATGTTCCAGGTGCTGGGTTGTATTTATATTAAATTTTTGATGTATCACAATCAAATTAAGTTTCTGCTTAGCAACAGTGAAGTCATTGTAGTTGTCCACAGCATACTACTTTCCTCAATATAATTAAATGTTTAATGCCCCAACAGTTTTCTTAATGCATAGGTGTGCCCAGTTCATTAACCATATTGAAGTTATACTGTAGTATTCAGGAAACTTCAGTAAACTGAAACATGAAACCATCTTTAACATGGACAGAATAGTTGATTCAACACAAATGCAATGATTCCAGTTTGTGAATGCCACATGGCTCACCTCCCTATACATGCTTACTCAAAATGTGTGAATGTTATGTCAGTATCCATGTTGGATGTACAAATTATGTATTAGCTTCCATAGTTGCATT